GTGCCTTACTTGCCTGGAGCTCTAGTTGTAAATGTTGGAGACCTTATGGAGGCAAGTCTCTCTCCCTTACAATATATTTTTTTACAGTATTCTAAAAAGCAGCGTCTAGGCATGAAGCAGGAGCAATACGCCTTTTCCGCACCCAGGAACAATTTTTTACACTGCTCATACAAAAGTTTCCTTGGAACGGACGGAGATTGACCCTAAAGTGCAAAGGCAGAAAAGGAACTTAACTGCAAGACCCATCCACCGAGCAAGGACAAAAGTTGTCCATAGTGATCTGACAGGAAGATGGATCATTACCTTGATGATATAATAGTGCTCTATCTCTTGTGATGAAACGAAGAGGGAAAAAAGAGGAAGATAAAAAGTAATAGGAAAAAATATAATTATTAATTGATTTAAAAATTTAAAATAAGAAAAACGATATTTTATGCTTTTTAGCACCCAGGCCGAAACATGGCATTTACGCTCCATCACGCTTTACGTTTTCTAGAATACTGATATTTTTTAGTCTGTTAAAGGATAAAATGTCCACAATACGAACTTATCATGTTTTGTTTTTGCAGCTCGTCACCAATGCCAAGTTCAAAAGTGTTTACCACAGAGTATTGGCAAAGACTGTAGGGCCAAGAATCTCAGTGGCAAGTTTTTTCAGAATGCATTATCACGAAAAAAGTAAAACTAAAGTTCATGGACCAATCAAGGAGTTATTGTCTGAAGAAAATCCACCAATCTACAGAGAAATCACCAGTGAAGAGATTCTTGTGACTCGAAACACCAGAGGCACAGATGGGGTATTACTATCACACTTTAAGATGAATGCAAGTGCCACTGAGTGATAGAAATCAGCTTCAATAATTTAATTGCTTTTGCAGTGTTTTCAGCACATCTGTTGAGGAGGTACCTCTAGTGTTTTGTTTTCCAAATAAGATTTGTAATTTTAAATGTCGGTAATTGTAATTTTCAGGTTTCATTTTAGCACCTTCAGCAACCTTTATTTATTTAACTAATAAGGCTCTAGTTTTGGATTTCTCATGTATTTCCCAGATTGGTTGGGATAAGTCATTGATTATTATATGGTACCAAGAACCCATCTTGTCAAGTAAAGAACATAACCCTAAAGTAAGCCCAAAAATATGATCTCAAAATGACAATTAAAAGATAAAAAATACTATCAAACCCATGTCTACTAATCATATTTGGCTAGTTATTGAACTCATCGTTTAATGGTTTTTCAATACGAAAAATGCGTTGCAAAGACACCAATCTATTTAAAGTCCCATTAAAAAAATTCCTGGGAGAGAGTAAAAACCTTATTTCATGAGTCATAACTGCAAATGTATACAGAGAAAAAAATATACAATCACAAAATAGATGTCTAAATGAAGAAAAATATGGATTATGCTACTTGTACATAAAATTGGTACATAAGCTGTTATCGAAAATAGTTTGAAGGGAAGATATTGAATGGAAAAGTGGAATGTGTTTTAAATTGACAAATGATAAAATGACATGTGGATACTATGTAATTCCTTATGTAAATCTTGATATACATGTTGTAAGGTCCGAAAAATATATAGCCCTTGTTTGAGCCCTATTTTTTTTTTAAAAAAAATACATTTTTAAACGGTGTTTTGACATCATTCCAATCACATATTTTTCAATAAAATAATATTACACGTAAATTTAATTTTTTTTATTTTTTAATCACACATTTCATATTAGTCTAATATTAAAAAAAATGCAGTTTTATGACAAAAATGAGACTTTAAACAAGGACATAATACAACTACAAAAATCATTACAAGTTAAAGATTAGTTTGAAAAGAAAAATGTAGGCTTGTCGGTGCCTTAAAAAGCGGGAGCAGCAGCCCAAGAATATCTACCACGTGTATTAATGTTTGGCCAAGTTTAAAATGTTTTTTTTTTTTCCTAAGTAATTTCAATAAATACTAAGTTCATGTTTGATGGGAATTAAATTTATTTTTTTAGTAAATTTTCATAAAAAATGATAAAATATATAATTGAAAAATTGTAAAACTTATAAAATATATTATTGAAATTAATTATTGACTTTGACTTAACATTAAAATTTGAATTTTACTCCGTACCAAACAGAGGCTAACTTTCCAAATTAAAATTAAATTAAACTGTTCATATATAAAATGTAATTTGAAAAAAGAATTAAGTTATATGTACATCTTGATTCACGATGACATTTTCCATTGCATGACACAATCCGAGCAATGATTTGAAAAGGTGTTGAAAAAATCAGAAGATATAATTGTGTCATGTATAAGAATGTAAAGAATGATGTACATATAACATAATTGTTTTAAAAAATTTCCTAAGCTGTACCAAACAAATTATAGAACTAGTCAATAATAATAATAATAATAATAGGCGTGAGCAAAATGGGAAATTCATGCACAAGAGAAGCCAATCGTCTCACTACTCTGTACACTAATTTATGCGTTTCTACCCCAAACCTCAAACTCTCTGCCATAAATTCTAACCATACTCATTCACTGATCATTTACATCATTATACAGTATATACGCAGTAATGCTACTCAAAAATCGCCATGGCTAAACTTTCTTCGATTTCTCTCATTTTTCCTTGCTTTTCCTCTTTGGTGGCTGCCTTGCCCAGTTAGGAAGCCCGCAACAATTCGTATGGCAGGACTTGCAGCAGTGTGGGCTAAAACAGATTGCAGAATTGAGAGACTCACAGCTCAAGAACCCAGTCAGAAGATTGATTCTGAGGCCGGATACAGTTAGTACTACTGGGACTCGAACAACAAGGAGTTGGAGTGCGGCTGTAAGAATTTTATTCAGCGACAAGGCCTATTCTTGCCTAACTACAGTAGTGTTCCTCAACTCATCTACAGAGTACAAGGCAAAACGAGCTGTGATTCACGTACAAGGGAGGAAATACCTGCTAATAGTCTAAATAGAATAGCAAATTGTGAAATTAGACCTGAAAATATAATCATTTGCAAAATAGCTTTTGAAAAATCATCTTACCAAAAATACCCCTCATAGAAAATTTAAAACCAAAGCCATTACAATGTATAAAAACCTTCAATTAGGTCCCCAAAGAAATATAGATCATGAATCTTTAATAAATTTAAACCCGAAAATTATACATAATTTTATTGATCTAAGAAATGCAACAAATGATGAATTAAATTATTTAACAGAAGATCTGAAAAGTTTCTTTAAAGAATATTTAGATTCAAAATTAAAATATAAAAATGTTTATATAGATAATAGAGCAATCAAAATAGAAAATAATATACATAAACAAATTCTTAAACTGAAAAGAAGAATTAACAAATTAAATATAATTATTAAAGAAAAAGTTTTAACAAAAGATAGTGAATTTTATAAATTCTATTGTGATCTTATAAATACTTATGAAAGTTTTAATTGGATTCAAAATCTTAATCCCTCCGTTGCACTCTCCGACCAAATGGTATCAGAGACATATTACGAACCTAAAATTATGATGAATATAGTAGATGAAGAAAATATAATTGAAGAATTTTTGAAAAAAGTTGAAAAATATAAAAAAATCTATTTATCCCTATTTACCTAAAAACACCACGAATGAAAGTTTCGAGGATATACACAAAAGACTAGAAAATTTAGAACATAATCTACAAGTAGAAAATGCTCTTTTAGATTAAAAAAAAAAAAAAAAACCTTAAAGGAAAAGATAGGATTATAATTAATCCATCTCAAGATTTTAGGATAACACAAAAAGAAAATAATAAAGGGAAAAAACATGAAAAAAGTCAATATATGATTACAGATGTAGAAGAACTAGAACAAAAATTCTTAGAATCTATTGGTGAAGAGTATGATGAATATGAAAAACAGTTAGAAGAATTAACTGGAAAAATGGAAAATACAAAGATGAATACTAATCCATCAACAAGTCGAGATATAAAAATAGAATTCAGTAGTGATGAAAAATATGATTATTCTTATTATACTACAATACCTCTTAAGAACGGTATTAATCAATATAAAAAAACACAGAAAAGATATACTAGAAACATAATAAAACAATCCATAAAACAAACAAATCCAATGAAATCTTATAATGAACTAATCCACACAACAGGAATATG